CCAACATATTTTTTGCATCTACTTACTCAGTTTGACCGATTTGCATGCGATAGTTTGACTCCGTTCCTAGAATTACTTCATGAATTAATAATCGTCAGAGCACTGCGCATGATCATCATCTGTGATGCCGCATCTTTGTGGTAATTAGTCAGCAACCAGGACTGGTTCTCAGAAGGCCAGCTTCAGAATTTCAAAGAAGTGTCACCTCACCATTCGCTATCAGATAATTTTTTGCTTCGGTTCTCATCGAATTTCGCCCAACTACTGGACCTTTTGCATGCAATCGCTCGTTACTTTTCATTTGCGCCTATGATTTGAGTCTAAATAGATCAGTGAAAACTGATAAATTGATCTCTAGAAGCGTATTATGATCGTGAATTTTACATGCAATTGTTCTTGGATAGTTACCGTTGCGATATCGATGTGTTTGCAGTTTCAAAAACACCGTTTTGACGACGATTGAATTGTGCCAATCGAACAACACCAACGGTGATGCTATTATACATTTTCACACTTTTATTATCCGTACTCATAATCGAATCGACATCCCACTATTTACCCGATCCACCGGTATTCACGGCTGTGCAACATTACCCGAGCATCTGCTATTTACCCCCAGGTATTTGTTTATCCTAATCAGTAAGACACTTCTCATTATTGTGATATTGTCTGACAGTATCACAGTTCTCACTGATTCATCATTCAATGGGAGTGAAATGAAACTTGAATCGGAAGATGCCCACCTACTTTNAAGATGCCCACCTACTTTTGCCTGTCTATTCTGAAATTCATATGTAGTAGCAAAGTCAAGAATATGTAAATAATTTCCTTCGATTTGGTTCAATTGTTCAAATTTCGCAAACGAAATATGTTTCAAATGATACGTAACGCACAAATGCAAAATGCATCATACATTCATCTAATATGATAAATAAACAGAAGAATACATCATTCGACTGACTATGAGAATTTTTCAGGAAACAAACAAATTTTTAGAAGGCTGCGCATTGAATGTCGATTAATTTTTCTGTCATTCTTATTTTACGCCAAACAATTATTCATTCGCAACCTTCGAAGCTTGTTCAAATTTCAGAATCCGGATTGTGCGCTTCATTTGACCCTGAAAGCGACAACACAGTTGATGATGATACGAACGATTCAGATGATCAACTGTTGATCCGATACTACTTCGATGCAACCACTCAGCAGTGCTACCAGTTTGGCGTACAAAACTGTGGTGGTAACGAGAATCGCTTCGAGAATCTTGCTGATTGTCAATCTTTTTGTAGTTTAACAAAATCGCAAGTGGGTCAATAGGTGAAATACTGCACTGATCGCTTGGCTGACTTCTAAGATCTGCTTAATCTTAAGCAAATACCGACATGATCATGCGCGCACTTTAAGACATCAACGAATTCATATAGTGATGATGAATCCGACTGAACTAGCATTGCATCGTTCCGACATTCGGAGTTCCGACCGACTCTCCAAATTGCTCGGTCGCAATCCGACTGTCGGTCGGAACCCATCACTAGCGCGCATCGAGCATTTAGAATATTATCTCTGCTATCATGAACGAACTTACTCAGCTATTAATTAAACCTGAGCTTACTGATACGTGTAAGTTCGGACTGCTTTTGAGTTGAATCGGTAGAATGTGAAATCCTCTTTCCTCCCCTTCCTCCCAATACCTACGTCTCGTGATCGAGGACAATTAATGTAAACCAAGCAGAATACAGTACGCCATGGGCAAATAACCATTCAGTACTGCCTTTAAGATCCTCACTGAA